TGCGGGGGGTTCGGCGGCTGCCGTCCGCTCTGGGCTCTGCCTCGATGGTGATTGCCTGGCACGGAGGGGAAGGGACGAAGAAGGGACGCAGTCAGCTCCTGCTCCAGCCCAGGGAGGAGCAGCGCTCTCAGGAACACCACACCGAGCCAGCCTTGAGAAGGGGGAACCAGCCTGCCAGCTCCCCGCGGCCCAGCAGAGCCCTCAGACCCAGAGGGAGGAGGAGCAAGGTGCCAACGCAGGCTGGGTGCCCTGGGGAGAGGAGGAGGAGGAGGGGACTCCCCATGGACACTCACCTGGGCCGGACAGACAGCCTCGCAGAGTTTGCAGGCAATGCACCTCTCCTCCCCAGACGGGTAGCGGCGCAGCGCGTGCTCCCCGCGGAAGCGAGGGCTCAGCGGGCCCTTCTCAAAGGGGTAGTTGATAGTGGCCGGTTCCCGGAAGAGGTAGCTCAGAGTCATGGCCAGGCCTGGAGGGGGACGGAGAAAGGAGCTTACCGCCTGCTCAACGGCGGAAAGCGCTGGGCTCCTCACAGGACACCACACAAAGGCGGTCAAGAGGCTGGAGCACGGGACACACACGGAGAGGCCAGGGGAGCTCGGTTTGCTCAGCGGGCGGAAGAGCAGGTTATCGGCGCCTGCAAACCGCCTAACGGATAGTTACGGAAGAGCCTGGCTCCGTCTTCTCTCAGAGCTGCTCGGTGACAGGAAGAGGGGCAACACGCGCAAGTTGCAGCAAGGGAAGTTCCCATTAGATATTACGAGAAACGCTTCCCCACGAGGGCAGTCACACGCTGCAACACGGATCTCCATCCCTGGAGATACTCAAACTTGACCGGACACAGCCCTGAGACACCTGATCTAGCAAGACCCGTTACAAACAACGGGTTGAACCGGAGACTCCCAAAAGTCCTCTTCTGCCTCAGTTACATCCTGCACTGGACAACAACATGACAGCAGAGGCACGGCGTGCAACGTTACCATGGGGGTCTTCCATACCCCGTGGCGTGGCACTGCACTGCCACCACCTGCC